TAATGTATGTTATGTTAGGCATTTATATTTTTCATATTTATATATGTGTATAATTGATCGCAAGTTTCAATAAATTTTATTCAGCCAACAATTAATAATAATAGTAGTTCATTTCGTATAAATATATATGTGTTAATTTAATAAAAACTAGTACGGCACCCGCGCGTTGCGCGGTATGATGTTAAATATATTGATGAATTATAATTTAATCGAATGATAATTTATTTACAATAATATCACTAATTAGACATTTGAATAATTATACAAATAACATTAGTTGTAGGCGAATTAAGTTTATTATGATCACTATTGCCACTGAAAATATTAATCTTTCGTTTATAACTCTAGAATCAACAATATGCTACTATTATGCTTAAGTGCATGTTTTTTTCAGCAATAATATCACATATAACAACAATAGTTGACTTTGATCAACTCACATTGCCTAAGACAACATAATAAAAATTATCATCGTTGAAATTTAAATAGTAGTCTTGAATTAGAAAACGTCAAGGATAATTGTAGAACAAACAAAAAAAAAATGCTGTGAGAATTTTACCTTTTATACTTTAAAATTGTGTTTTTCGTTTTTTGTTGAATTAAGAAAAAAATTCTTCAATATCAGTCAATAACATATCTACCTATTTGGACTGAAAATTATTTATAACCGGAAGCTAATTAACTTCTTGAAATATGCATTGAGATTTTCGCTGCAAAAATATTGAATTATTTAAATAAAATTTCATTGACAAATGAAAGTCAATTATAGCAGACATTTTTTACTCCAGCATACATGTAAATTGATGAATAGCTTCTGATAGTTTTTTTTATATAATTTACTACATTTGAACACAAATTCACATCAATTTTAATTACAAAATAAATGTTAAATTAAAATATAATGTTTATAAATTATAAATTTTGAAGTTTGTCAATTTAGTTCCCAAAAATAACTTGCATGAGATTTTACATTTTAAAAAATATTTATAAATATTAGTTCTTGAAAACAATTCACCTTCTTAATCCTAACACATTGTGAAATTTTATTTAATTTTTTCCAACTAAAAAAGTTAGAGATGATGTTGTTGTGTTTTAAAAAGATTATTATTCTACTTTAGAAAAAAAAAATGACTTATTTTTTTAAAATTAAAACCAATATTTAGTAAGTCAAAATATAAATTATATTTTCCCTAACATAATGTTCTCGGCAATAAGTTTATATATTTCATCTATAATAACATTAATTTTATTTATATGTGCAACCTTCTATAAGTCAAAATATAATAACATTAATAAATATATGCAACCTTCTATATTTTATTTATTTTTATGACAAATTATATTATTTTTCGACAATATATTTTTTTTTTTTATCATCTTGATTTAACTTTTTTCCATAAATTTAGTACATCAAGCCTA